AAAAGATAGAAAATAAACTTCATTTCTAAAGATTAGAGTTTTCGAAGAGCTTATATGTGTGTGTTTAAGTGATCAAATAATTAGTTTTTAATCTTAACTGTCTATTTATAATTTTTAATCTTAACAAGCGTTCTTATCTAAATAACATGCATTATTTTTGTATATATAAAAGCACAATTATCACTTTAATCTTTTAATTAATTTATTTATTACTAATTATATATAAAAGCAATAAGGTGAGGCATGATGTGGTATGTTTGTAAAGAACAGCAATGATGTAAGAGATGCATGGTGGCTGGGTCTTGCATGATGGTGGCTAACAAAGAACAATTGTCCTACATGGGTTATGGTCACTAAGCAGCGTAGAATAGTTGGCATGGAAATGGAGCAAGATAAGCTGTGGACTGTGGAGGATTGGTTGTTGATCAATGATCATGAACAAGCAAATAATGGCAAGTCATGGGTTATCAATCCTTGCAAACCAATCATTTACATGAAAATACTTTTGTCAAATATCTTATCAGAGTGCTTTGATAACTTAAAATAATTTTCTTTCAAAATTCTAAAACTTCTTTCTCACCATTTGTTCTCTAAGCTGTATTTTTTATGTCTTATTTCAAAATTCCTATAATTTATGTATATAACAAAAAAATAGTTTTAAAATATTATGAAATCTTAACTAAATAATTATTACATCAAATAAAAAAATTCAATTGATTTATTTTTAAAGAAAATTTAAATAATATATTTATTATGCTTAACCTTTTCTACTTATCATTCATTAATTATTTCATACTTCACTTTCACTCTAAGCATCTCTCCTTATTGCTTTTATATTTTAAATTTTTTTTAAGATTTTCTATTTAAACACAACATTAACCGTTTGAATCTTCTTTTCTGTTTTATTGATTAGTAATCTAGAATGCTATTGATGTTCAATGATTAAGAAAATCTATAAAATACCAGATATTTTATATCTTTCTCTCTCTTTGTTGATACTCAAGAATAATGCTCTATTACCCAATGTATTATTGACTTCTTGGATTGTTTCATTTGAAATCTTTAAAACTCTATTTTATCAACTGTGAAGTATATGAATTATGAGTTTTATAAAGGATTTTTTTTTCCATTTGTACAAATGAATTTTCAAACAATAAATGAAATAATTTTTATATTCTTCAAACATCTCCTATGGCAATTTTTTAATCCATTTTTAAAATATATTAAGTTAAATTCAAAATTCAAAATTATTAAAATTAACATCAAGTCAAATTAAATTTGTAAAATTGATCATATTCTAAATACATTAAAGAGGAAGGAAACAGGTTAGGCAACAATTATATATATATATATATATATATAAGATAAAAAAACTTATATGATGATAATAAAATATAAATACAAGACATGTTACTATTATCAAAGTTGGATAGAGTAAGCAGAAGTTGAAAGATTAAAATAAAATAATAAAAGTTAAAGAATCAAATTTAATTATGATTTGTTTAGTTTAAATAATATATTTTTTTGTTTTAGTTTTAGTTTCTAATTTTAACTTAAAAATAATATCATCATTTTTTAAAATAGTGCTAAAATGTGAAAATACTTTTTTTACTCTTATTATTTTATATAATTTTTTAAAAATAAAACTATATAATATTTTGTAATTAAAATTAAAAAAAAATCTCGAAGAAACAGACCCTTTTTCGTTTTTTCAATTTAGGTATGAAGCTATGACACCTGCCAGAAAAGGAATCTGGTAAGAAGGCATGTTGTAGCCAAATAATAAGATAAGTAGTTTCAAACTAATATAAAATTCTCTCAATATGATATTGTTTTCAAAGCAATCTTCTTGTAAAAAAGTTTCTCATAAACTATACAGGAATTGTGTCCTTTAACATTGATGACAGTTGACTCCAAATCTACAATATGTCCAATCTACTTGTAAAGTGACATAAATAATTGAAAATTTTGTGAAGTTTATATCCTAATGATGATGTACAATTAAGTTAAAACTTATATAGTAAACATTCTAAAAATAAAAGTTAATAACTTAACAATAAAGCGACTGGTAATTTTATATAAATATAATCCAAAAAACCACTTAAATTTTGTTTGGTAAGAAAACTGTTTAATTTTTAATAAAACTTTTCTTAGTACATTTTTTTAAAATATAAAACTTACTAAAAGTGCTTTGTGTGATTGTGAAGATCAATTCCACATGCAATACTAATAGATATTACTCTCATTTTTTTTTCACATTTATAAGAAAATGTGTCCACAATTATCTATCATTTTTTAAAGATTAAGACAATATTAGTTATATATATATATATATATATATATATATATATAAAACAAGAACTTAGTAAATTTTTATTTAAAATATTATAAAATTTAATACATGAATATTATATAAATGCTATACATTTTAATAAAAAAATTATTTATTAATTTGTATATTTAAAATCAAATTTTAAAGATTGATGTTAAAAAAAATATTTATAAAAAGGATTATTAGTTTCATTTTCAGTACTTATATCCGCAGTGGTTAAACCAACCAATGAAAAATCATTTACATTACTATTATAGTTCTTTCATTTCTTTTTATCTACTACTTTAAAGAAGAAATTTAACATTTTTAGTTTAATTAAAAATATGAACAAGTTTTAACAAAATCCTTGTCTCTGAAAAATTTTGAATAGTTTAACTACCATTAATCTTTACTGAATATTGGAAGGTGCTGCATCTATATAGTTTATCAAACCATTTTAAGATATCACTGTGATCTTTTGAAAAAGTTAACAGAATCTATTAGTGAGTAAGGATTTATTTAAAATTTTTAGAAGTATGGATGGGGACTCAGTTAAAATATTTCAAACTAAAGGGTTCATTTTAGAAAGTGAACCGTTTCCTAATATGAAAATGGCTTTGACGAATTGATTAGGAAATCACATGTTCCAAATTTGTTGGATAAATATTAAAAGCTAAAAATTTGATGAAAATCAAGATAGCATACTTTCTATATATTTTGTGTTTGCATGAATTTGTACGAACAGACGTTTTTGTTTAAAAATATATAAAAATATAATAAAACTATAGACTTAAAAATTATTGTTAATTAACCCTTATCTTAAGACGATTATGTTTATTTAAATACTCATATTATTTAATGACTTTTTTTTTTTTATAAAATATGAGATTAATTAAATTAATTATTGGTTTGAAAATTTTTATTAAGTAGATCAATTGGATTAAATTTTATACAAAAATAAAACTAATAGATATTTCATCATATTATTTTATTTCAATAAATAATATATTTTTAAAATATAAGCAAATATTAAATTTTAGTTAAAATACTAATAAATATGTAAATTAGGTGAGATTTGATATATATGATCATAAAAATAAATGATATTTTAAAAGTTTCATAAACATATTTAGTACAGTTGTTTTTCTATTATTATTAAAAGGTGTAGCGAAATCTCATATTGAAATTGAATATCCCACCCAACTTGAACATGGTTAGCTGATGGAGATTTTCGCCTAAGTTATGGAAAGGACGTGTGCTTGAAAAATGGCTTTGTACTTGTGCAATTACAAAAGTAGTTTAAAATAATTATGATGGGTTAGGGGGAAGACTAAAAGAGTGTGGCACAACTCAGCCATCAGAATGGAAAAGCAGAGATAGAGAGAAAAAGAAACAGAAAATCGACACAAAGAAATGCATATGAAAGGAAAATTTTAAAATCAGTAACAGAAGAGCGAGAAAGAAAAGAAACATGCAAAAATAAGTTTGAGGGAGCACTACCCGCAACTCATCCCCATTCGATGGAGGGATGTGCGAGAATAACTAATTGAAATCCATACACGTCGGCAAAAGAAAAGTCCATTATTACTAAACACCTTTTAGCTAATCAAAGTGGTTTGCTTTTATAAAATTGATCGATTAATCTTGTCGATCTCGTGGGACAAGAGACATATAAAAGCAAGGAATCTGCTGTATGGTAATTTGCTCACAACGTAAATTGCATTCAATATTTAAAAATTCCAAATAAATATAGAAAGAAGAAATTAACATTGTTAGTTAAAAATTGTAGAATTAATTGATACGTAAATTAGAGAGAAGCACCTTTGATAATTGATTGATAAATAAGAACGAAGTTGAGTGTTAAAATTTGCTAGAACATATTGGAAGTCTATTGTGTTAGAGAAGAAGCTTTATACTGTTGCATAATATCTTGCATTATTGTGTTAATTGAGTGCTTGGTACATATATCATAAGGAGTTACATCTTCACATATATATATTTTTATTTAGTAAAAGTATTGACATATAATGAATGATATCAAACCAAACTTTATCAAAGAATCGAAACTGTATAGATATAAAGTAACAGGTAATAGCATTATTCTTATGTTATCTAACTCCATGTATTCATCATTAAAATGGGAAAAGAAATAAACGCAAATCCGTCCTGTATTAAGAAAGTTTTGCCCATTTCAACCTAACACGTCATTATCATTGGACTTCAACTGACTAGTGGAAAATGAGCCATGCTGGAAATGAATATATTGCGTGTCTCATTTGCTTTCATAAATTCTCAAAATTTCCAACATGTTACGTGCAGGAAAACATGCACTCTTCCATGATTTTTTTTGGGTCCAACATGATGGGGGGTTTGACGCAGCAATATGGGAGCAGCACTCAGCATTGTGAGGACCAAGTTCAAGACCTAAAACAGATCGTTTCTAGCACCCAAAGGATTTGTAGACTCCACAAAATTCACAAGCCACAACAGATGCACCACTAGCAATGGAAAAGCTTAATGCAAGAAAGCTATCCACACATGTAACTCGAGCAGATTTATGTGGTGTTCTTCTAGAGATACATTAAATGTTTTAATTTCCAATACACGAAGCTTTCTTATTTTAATTTTTATTATAGATTGAAAAATGTTAGCGCGTATGTGGGTAACTTCTCAAATATCAGAGGAGGCTTTCAGTAATTTATTTATTCAACACAGAAAACTTGACAAAATATTTAAAAATAATGGAATACTAAAAATATAATTTACAAACATGGTGTTAAATGATAATCGTAACGTTACAAAACAAACATTTTTTCATGCCTCAGAGTCCGGAACTGGCCTCTACTATTGTTTCAAAGCAGCGGCAATCTTTTTCTGGAGGAGCTCCACTCCTAGACGTGGGGACAATCGCGGTAAAGCCACCTGAAAAACAGGACAAAATTCACATAACATAAAGAATTTTCCTCCAATGTTATGACTCTTTTTTTTATCACTTATTTGACGGTCGTTAACAATGCAAGAAAGGGTAAAGAAACCATAGAACCAATTACCATAGCTAAATATATACGATTTGGCATCACAGTATAGCAAACAAGACCCTGGAACAGCCAATTGGAGTAGCACACCTCACAAACAGGAAAATGTGTGGAGCGGCAAACAAAATGGCAGTACTAATTAACTAACATATAATTTATTGTCTATAAACTCAACAGGGAGAACAGACTAGAATCACACAGTTGGACCATAAAACCAGAAAAATAATAGGACTATCAAACTTCTAATGAACTGATTTTCGTTTGATGAACAGATGGCTGAGCAAATTGCCAAGTACCTTCAAAAGAAGAAATGACAAACTTATATGATACTTCTTCATCCACAGGATGGCCAACATTTAACTCGGACCCATCAGTGGCCGGGCCTGCACCAAGAATAATGGGTCCAAGTTCAGCTGAATACTTCTTAGGTTGGGCTGAATAAATGACCACCAGACCGTAGGTCCCCCTTTGATAAGAAAATCCACAAAATGATTTGTGTACGATGGATCTCTCAGACAAGAAATCTTTCTCCACATTGGCCCATATAACCAAACGCAAACGGACACAATACAACCTTACAACTGATATTATGGACCAAAAAAGACTTTACAACTGAAACTTAATCCTTATATCATGAAAATACGGATGCCATTAATCAAATGTGGCTGATTAGATTTGCATAAATGTGGTTGATCGTGCTGTGCATACTTGTATCATTATTTTATACTTCAATCATCAGTTTAATAGTCCCATAAACTCCTCATCGGTGCATATTGGAATTCTTAAGCCCTAAATCTTTCTCTACGAATTCAAAAAGCCCTAAAATCCATGGTTTGCAGAGCCTGAGCTGTTAAATTAATCACCTGAACCAAAGCCTTAAAACCTTAGCTTTGGACATGAATAAGCTGTAACCAATTCATTCAACTATAGCCCCTTGTGACTTTCAAACTCGGAAAATGATCGACCTGTTTGCATAAACAGCTTAATTAAGTATTATCTTCTGCCTGTAAGTGTTTAAAATCAAAAAATTATTTGTGTTTGGATATGTACTTTGAAAAGTACTTATAAAAACTAAAATAATAATAAAATAAAATTAAAAAGAATTAAAATTAACATAGCTCATAAAAAAGTTTAAAAAAATAATAATAACAAAATTTAAAAATAACTTAAAAATTAAAATTAATACTAAAACATAGATTGAATGAGTTGGTGAATACATTCATCATGGTTTTCTTAAGAGTTTGCACTAAAAAAAATAACATTAACAAAATATTATTTCTAAACATGGAACCAAAAACAGTAAAGGAAGACACATGGAATCAAACAAAAAATAGAAAGCACTAACAAGCAACCAGAAAGAGAAAGCAAAAAAAAGTGAAAAATAAATTATTGTAATATAACAAGCCCAATGATTATGATCTCCAACAAGTGATGAAATGAGAAGACAAAAACAATGAGAAAAGTGTGTACAAAGGGTTTCAATGAAAAAAGAGGAACAAGAAAAAGGAAACAAATGAGGAAGAGAAATAGGTTTCAAAAGATAAGATTTCGATAAAACAAGTGATTTTTTCTTTTGTTGTTAGGTGAGATTCAAAGAGTGATCTTTTACAGCTTCTGCATAAGCTGTTTTGTATAAGCTTATTTGAGAGGCTTAAGAAAATAAAGCTAAAAGTAACTTAAGAAAAAATTATAAGCTACTTTCATAAGTTAATCCAAACACAAGTATAAGAACTGATGTCATAAGATAAGCTTAAATAAGTTGTTTATGAGCTCTTCCAAATGTCCCTAATATCCTTTTTGTGGATGATGCAAAACAAATGACATAATTGCCTAGGTTTCAGTCTATCTAATGCCCTTTGAGTCCACAAAGGATTTCAAAAAGAATTTTGGCATGCAACAAAATAAAAGATAATTTCTAAATTCCTCAATTTCAAAACTGAATGTGAATAAAAAAAGTTATGGTGCTTATCTACAAGGATCCTAAGCTACCCATGCTTGCACTATTCCAATGCTGAAGGCTCAACGTCGTACTGTTACTGTGTTACTCTATGAATAATAACCAGCTACACCTACCAACTTACAAACAACCAACTGCGGAATTTTTTTTTCATGCAAAAAATGAAGATTAAGAACATTGCCATTGGAATATATTTTGTGTGTGTTTGGATTCACATTTAAATGAACATGGATCCACATTTACTTTAACGCTACTATTTATACTTTCTGCGTTAGATCCACATTAACAAGTTTACGTGTTTCCAAACACAAAAAAAATACCTAATACTACCTCAATTGTATTTTAGAATAATTTAAAGTACATTAGATTAGCTTTTACAATTAGCTTCCCTACTTCCTTTTATTTCATTATAGGTGTCCTTATTTAAATAGGATTATGATCTAGTATTAGTATAAATACGAGTCAGTGTTTTAGGTTTTGCATCTTATAGTAAACACGGCATGTCAATATCTATTTCAGAGTATTCAGTCTCCATTATCTCCTTTTCCTTCCATTATAACTAAAATCTTATAACTTCAACATGACATCAGAGCAATATCATCCTTTGTACCTTGCTTGTTACTACTACGGTGCCATGTTTCCTAAAATTTGGAACTATTTTTTATTGTCTCACCATTCGAGCTGCCACCATTAAGGTTGGATAATTGATCTCCATACCCTCAACCATTAAGCGAAGATAATCTGTCTCAAAAGCCTTGGATTGTCATCCCCTTTTTTGCCTGATGTCATCTCTAATCATCTTACTTGTCTTCTCCTTCCAGGCCTAATCTTGTCACCATTTGTTCACTTTCTCAAGGCTAGTTGGCTCTTGTAGGCTGTGTTTTGTCTTATATTTCTTCACAACCCAACATGTTCTCTTTATTTGTTAGCTTGATATATTAAAGTGATTTCTCAGCCTTATTTGTGGCAGTTATCGTAGCCTTGTCATTATTATGCTAGCTTAGCATTGAGGGGAAGAAAGGTGGAAGGTGTTTGGCCTCGACTTTTGTCCCAAATGCAGTCTGGCTTTCCAGTCTCACATCTAAAACACTCCAGCCCTACCAGTTTCTGTTCTAGACACTCTATGGTTCTGCCAATCACAGTCTCACATGCTTTCACCCCGTCACTCTTTAGTCCAAGATGCTTGAGTCATGTTTCCATCCCAAACCATTTGGTGTTTGTCATGATGTGCACTTTCCACCAACGTTCATTCTAATGATTTCTTTTCACCAATAATTCATCCAGTGATGAATTGGTTGTGATTTATGCCAGCTTCCCGTTGTGAATCATAACAATGATGATTCTTCCTAGCAAGTAAATCACAAAAATGTGATCCACACCAACCTCAGTTTCAATTTCAATGTTCAAGCGTCCAAAGTATTCTTGTGATTTAAAGCTTCCAAATGTTGTTTTTGATGAATTTGGAGAAGTTTTAGTCCTTCCAGAATATGATTTACTTGTGAGGAAAATTTCCAGCAAAATCTCCTTTTTCTTGGGCTTGCAATATTCCAACTAGTTTTTCAGGATAAAGATAAATTCCAGTCATTTTAATGAATTGTCTTTCTAACAACTCTCATTATATTTTACTTTTTAAAAGAGTTTATTCGTAACGAGCTTAAAGTTTAGCAAGCTTCAGCTTGAGGGAATGTTAAAACATATGAAAAAATATCCAATAATATCTTGACTATATCGTTACAGTAACTTAGTCTTAGAGTATGAGTATCTTATATTATCTTTTAGGATGAGTTTTCCTATTTCCTTATATTCCAAGATTCACGCCCTTATTTAATTAGGATTGCAATCTAATATTGGTATACATAAGTGTTAATGCATTATGTTTTGCATTACATGTCAACACAATAAGGACATCAAGCCAATATCTATTTAGGAGCATTCATTCTATTTATCTCCTTTTGCTCGCTCTATACCTGAAACTCTATAATTTCAAAACTCCAAATTGAAGATAAATTATTTTGAAGACGTCCTTCCTGACTTTCTTAATCAACCTTTTCCATTAACTATCAGACTAGTATTGTGCATCAAAAGATGTGTAAAAAATGAGCATCCATGTGAATTGTGCATTGCATTCCACCATTCTTAGATAAGTTCGTACTGCAGGACTAAACAAACCTCGGTGCCATCGGCGAGCACTTTAGCCAACACAGGAATTTCGTATTGGTAAGCTCTTTCCCACTCGGGATTGGTCGTTATATCCCTTATCTGACAGAACCGAACAACATGAAATAAAAAAACCTCGTATTAATAGTCATGCATAAACAAGTACAATTTACGGGGGGGAGAGAGAGATACCTGAAAATGGATATCGTGAAGGGAATCAGGACCGGACAGGGAGAATGCAGCGTGAAGCTTGTCTTTGAGACCATCGCACAAACAGCAACCTGGTTTTGAGTAGAGGACAAGCTTTCTAGAAGGTGCAGATGAAGCAGAGAGAGGTCTGAATTTGAAATTGAAACCCCTTTGTCCCGATAACAACAGAAGCGGTGAGGGCCTTGCCACTGCAAACGCTGCCATGCTTCTCAACTCACAAATTTGCTACCTCTCACTCCTTAAACCCAACTTGTTCAATGGGCTGGGCCCTCCATGGGTTATATTACTCATCTTTCAAGCCCGGTTCATTTTCTTTTCGGGTTCTCACTCAAGTATTCCCCTTAATTTTCGTTTTTGCTGGGTACTCTCCTGCCCTCAAAGTCGCTTGGTTATTCATACCATGTACTCTTAACTTGGCCTGTAATAATTATTATACTTCTTGCGTTTAAGTTCAATTTGTTAGTTTTCAATTTATAATTTTCAATATAAAAAATCTATTCGCATATTTTCATGTAAAAACATTCCAATCAAATTATAAAAAAAATTAGTTCAATGCATAAAAAACAAAATTAACAAATATTACTTTATTTTAATGTATGATATATTTTAAAGTATAAATAAATATTAAATTTTACTCATAAATATTTAAATTATGTAAAATTTAATATACATAATCATAAAAATAGCATAAAATAATCATAAATGATTAGATTAATAATTTTATATCTAATACAAAAATATAAAATAATATAAATGTTCATATATATATATATATATATATATATATATATATATATATAATCTTCTTACAATGGTATAATTATAAAAACTTTTACATTTCAACCTGAAATTTTCATTTAACTTAAATTTAAATGAGTTATAATTTATTATTTTACTGACCGTTAGATTTAAGTTAAATAAAAAACTCAGTTAAGTGTAAGAGTTTTTAGATATACATTAGTGTAAGAAATTTTTTTTCATATATATATATATATATGAGATAATTTTTTTTTTCAGTTTAAGCATGGTTTATTTTGATTTGGTTATTGAAGATTGGGAATGTGAAAATTTGAATCCCTGGTCATAATGCCTATGTTCTATTGACTTTGACTGTTGAGCTATCACTGCAAGAACTAAACATGATTTTAAAGTGTCATTGGTATGCCTTGTTGTTTGGATCAATTTGGTCGATCCAACCCTGGGATTTTGAAAACATAACTCTAACGTAACCTTAAATTTTGAAAAGAAAAAAAAAAAACCTTAATTCAATGTCAAAATAATTTTCTTAGTTGAATCGGATCGAGCTAATATAAAATGGGATTGGATTTGTTTAATATTAATGCCTCATGGTTAACAATAAATTACTTTTTTTATTGTTAGTATAAAAAAAAGTAAAAACTAAAAAAATTAAGATAGATATATAACTGCACAAAAAATAATAGATTAAAAATTGACTCTATACGAATAAACATTGAAGTAACGTCTATTTAAAGAAAAAAAAAATTAAATATTCCAATCCAATGCACTTTTTGCAAAAAGTGAACTTAAAAATTACTTTGTACTAATTATTTGCTATTTTCTTTGTTTTGGAGTTTTTCATGGAAGTTAATTGAATATTCCAATACACTTTTTGCTCGTTGCAGTTGATCCTGAACGAAGTTCTGTTCTTGGCTCTGCAAGTCAGACAATTTTTGGCAGATCCATAGTGCCAGATGCAACTGTTCATGCTGTTGTTGAGGAGCATGTAAGTGTAGAACTTCCCATATCACTTATGCAGAATCATCTTTCTTATTATGGGAGTAGGAATAGAATAGGTTTGCATAGAACAATCTTTTCTCTTACTGTTTTTGGCTGCTCCTGGGCTGCTATTGCTGTTCTTTCCATCCATATGTTTCCAATCATGATGTAATGGAATTAGAATTGTGACTAAATGACACACTTTCTTCATGGTGGCAAAATTAGGCGAAGTATATATTGCATATAATTTATGTATTTGCATCCAATTTTCCTCGATAATACGGTCATATATAATATGTAAAGTAATGAGAACCAAAAACTGTTGATTGCATTTTGTAGTATTGTTTTGTATGTCAAAGGATTTCTTCGTTGAAATATAGAGATGAATTTGAATAAAAGGCACATGTTAAGGTGTTCACTTCAGCATCTTTTTCCTTTCCTGCCAAAATATAGATAAAAATGTTATTGCCAAATTAGCAAAGTTCAAAAAAGGAGTGGTGGCTCAAAACATGGCAAAAGACAGTAGAACAACCCAAATTTAGATAAACTTTAACTAACCTTGTAAGCCCCAAAATCCCAACACATCTTGCACAATCTTGTTTGCTGTTTTGTAACCTGTAATGCCATGACCAATTGAAGAATTAAATTTCTGGAGATATAATGAAAATAAAAGATTCGTGATTTATCATGGTAGAACAATACAAGGGGAAAGCAAGTTATGTATGGTATATGGAAGACATGAATAGGTAGAGACAATAAGACTTAAGCAAAAACGAAGGATAATTGACTTGGCAGCTGTAAATGTATAGGTCATAGTCCATTATTTTCCTATTCACTTATTTCTTTCTAGGTTGAAATGTAATTATAGAGTAGATAAAACTCTTGAATCTCATTTAACCTTAATAATAACTAAACATTGGAACATAAAGTTCCTTAATTACTTTAAAAGATCTTAAAGATATTTATCATGGTAATTCGTTTCAGGATCCCCTTACAGAGAAGTTGAGAGGTTGGGTTGCTTTGTGTCATTGATGCTTTTTTTCTTCTGTGTTTGTCCTCCTTTTCATTTAATGTTTTGTAAGGAGGATCTCTTATCCTCCTAGATCTTTGGAATCTGATTCTCTTTGTCGTAATGGTTTTCTTCTTTTATCCAAAATGAAGAAAAAAGAACGAAAGTTCATTTTAACCTTGGGGGCCTGACCTTTATAAATAAAGTTCATTTTAACCAGGCAACTGACAACTGAACTCTGAAACACAATTGTTAGTTGAAAAAATCTAATGTCATCTTATTCTTGTGACTTGGTTTTTAAAATGGTAGAGTAATGCTGCTCATAATGCATTCCAATGTCATCGTCTATGTGCATGTCTCCTGCTTCCTGCAGCCCTCCCCTCCCCAGTGACTGTTCCTGTGTTATCTGCATCCGAGCATTGTAGTTGTCCTGTTTCTAAGTGCTTTTGATTTCTGTGTATGCAATGATGAAAAATTTGCGTTTTTTCTTTATCACCTTATATTTGTTTTTCCTTCTATACACTTGATGCATGCTCATTTTTCCTTTTATATCAGGCACTAGATGCTAAGGTTATTATTTTAAGAAAAAGAGAAGGAAGAATTATAGAAGAACCAAAGGGCATGCCAGGTATGTTGGAAATAAATTATTTAATTAGATGTAGTTTCATAACAAATTTTTTATACTAATTCTGTTTTATGCATGGTTACCATCTACAGGAGTTGACCAAGTTAAGGATTACTGACATTCAAGGAATTGTGAAGCCTCAAAATGTATTGCTTGAAAAGCCTTCTTTAAAAACTGCTAAGAAAGAACAGAAAAGGGCTGCAGTTACAGCTTAAAAAGGGTATTCCTACCTCCTTGGCCATTAAGAGTAATTGCTCTGTATATTTCAAGTTGTTGCAGTGGGGATGGCTTGTAGTGAGGATGATGATATTCTGATAAGCTCCATTTTACATCTGCAAATGCATGTGAGGTGGAAATAGTCAACCATCCGCTTGGTAGTGAGGTTACGTAGGATTGACTACACATTTTTTCTTTTCTCGTTGTAATACAATGTTTAGCGGTTCGATGCTTGAACGTAAAATCCATAGATTCTTAAACTGGTTTCAAGGCCTCAAGACATTTAATAATGAGATGACTCTTGCATTCTATTGTTAGTTAAAAATGTGATACTATTTAATGCATTTTACTGATTTCTGACAGAAATAAAGCAGCCAAATTTCGTCTTTCACATCCCCTGCTATGGAAAACGAAAGTCCAGGAGGAAAAGGACCCCGATGTGATTTGTACCTGGCAAACTGGGGGTGTAAGATTCGACTCAAGTCGACAAATAAAAATTCAAGCTAGACTTGCAAACAATTTATAGTGTTGAAATCTTTTTCATTTGCTTTTGCTTAAAGGATTGAAAAACATTTCTCTTGGGCCCAAAAAGCTTAAGTATTGTAGCATATTGGGAGATTTGCTTGATCCTTCAATAAAATCCTAACCATGCCACTTTTTCCCATCTCAGTAAGGGACCTTTAGTTCCTTTGTAACGAACACGTTTCTATTATACATACGACTTGAAAATCCCTTCAGAGTTAGATCAGAGATTCCTCTCAGCATTTGAATCAAAGCCAGAATATTGATATGTATTGATTTGGTTGACATAAGGTAGTTACCCTTTTGTTTAGAAGTGTTAATCTTCTGACTGCACAGGTTGAATCTCCAGTTTTGTCATATTGCATGTATGCATACAAGAGAAATTTCCGATTCAGTAATTATCCTTTAACAAAGTTTTTAATTAGTTTAGATAAATTTCTTAATAAACATTTGCAAGAAAATAAAATCAAAAAGTTAAAATATATTAAACTTCTCTTTCAAGTTAAATTTATGCACTTCAATTTTATTTAGCGTTTTTACTTTTAAGAAATTAGCAGTGAAGTTTTACAACAAAGAAGTTTCCATTACTTCAATCTTTCACCTCTCATCTTTTGAATTGTGAATGCTTTTTCCAAGAGACATGACAAAGAAATTCATACACAATTACACTTAGTAGACGGTCAACAATCAAAACCAATTACTATCATTCGTTTAGCTTCAAGAAAGTACCAAACTCTCCAATTTCTGCATATATGTAAGAAACGCCCACCAAATCCCATGCAGCGATAACCCACTAACCCCAATGATACATGAAAGGATCCACAAGAAGAAAACCTGTACAATGTTACACTCATCCTTGATTCTCCAAAACTTGAGAAAACAATTTTGTGCGGGCAAGTGTCATGAGAAAGCAATATCTATATGAGCTTCTTCTTCCGAAAGAAGCGCTTCAGATGTAACAGCTGCAATATAGAAACCAAAATGCAAAGGCCAAGAGAAAAGATACTAAACCAAGCGACTCGAGCATTTGTTGCTTCACTAACTTCCCTCATCTCAGCTTCCCTGTAGTAATGTTCAAGAAAAGGAAGTTTTGGAATGCATTAATTAACATATTGAATGGTTTGTAATAGTATTAGGAAACCTACCGTAAAAAGTTTTTAATAGGAAAGGAAGTATTTATTATATTAGAGACAGATAAGTGTAACTAATACTTCATTTTTTAATAAAAATTTATTATTATTAGCTGCTTTAACTCAATCCTAAAGATTGAATACAACAAAAACTACAATACCATAGGAGTTATGTTTCTCATCCCACTTATGACAATTATCGTCACACTCAAATAGTGAAGTGGTTAGAAGAACCTAACTTAATAAAGGCCTCAACAGAAAGATGGCACCCTGATTAAATAAAACTAAAATCAAACATCACAATGAAAATAAGCGATTTACCTATTCTTCAAATAAATTAGATTATCCCGGATGGCTTCCACTGCTCCTTCAAGTTTCCTTAGCTCAAGTTCAACGCCCTTAAATCAATGCCCAAAAAGAATATGGCATTACTTTAGTACCCCCAAAAAAAATATCATTGTAGATATTACTAAGCAGTGATAGAGAATGGATGAATTTTTTAATTTCTTTATTACCTCTATCTTTTCTTTTCTTGCAACGGAGTCCCAATCTTTGGCAGAGATTCCAGTTTTCCATTCAAGGCTGATTGTGGTGTCCCCTGCACCTTCTTGATGTTTACTATCCACCCAAAAGCATGCCACATAGTTCCCACTCTCGGTAGTTGTAAATGCAAACTGACCATGGGTAACATTTTCATTGTGGTGAAGAGTATTTCCATAAGGAGATGTCACCTGGGAAAATAAAAGAGAAATTATATAAAAGAAGTTGGTCAACATGAATTCTTCTAGTATTATACTTGTACATTGATTTGTATCCTTACATTTTCACATCATCCGAGATCAAGAACAAAAGAAGAAATCTAGTCCTAAATCTGTTAATCATCAACATCAGGGCATGTGAATAGCAACAAGTCAAATATAAAATCTGATGATGAGGCAATGTAAAATTAACAGATAACCTCCCATTCTTCCCTTATATTGACACCAATTTTGTTTTCCCAACTAAGAGTTCATTATCATAAATATTGTTGTTGTTCTTTTTCAATCAGAATTGGTGTTGACCTGTGCTGCCATTTAATGTAAATTTTTCTTATACAGATTATCAAAGTGAAATTCTAATTTATGCTGTTGCATTTAAGTTTCTATCCTTATCAAATTAGCAAATCACGCAGAGAAAGTTTAAACATGCTACAACAAGTTTGAATTTGCCTACTATATAAGTGCATACTTTGGCATAAAACTAGTAAAGAACAAGAGATAAGTAAATCGAAATCATTAAGTTGAATTGAGGGAAAAAGACAAGGATGAAAAGTGGAACATATATGTATACCTTGGCAGAAATAGTTTGAAGGTGGTGACCCTTGACATCATCGGCTACAACATAGTAATCGGCTAAAACGACAACGTGTGACTGGATTTCCTCGGACATGCACTTGGTTCCCTTACTGGGGATGGTTAACCATACGGCTTCAGTGCGAAGGAGCATAAAAGTAGTGAAGCATAGCAACAAGAGCAGAGGGATTGGGGTTCCAGAGCTTAAGTTCATGTCCTTCGCCATTACCCAAGGTTGACCTTCCAATCCAAATCATATACTCTATAACTCACTAGACTCAGATCTAAAACTGTCAATTACCCGACAGATAAGAGAATAGATTATATATAATAAGAAGAATAAAAATCTTTGTTAACAGGTGTCTCAGTGAAAAAATTTATAATAATAAAATATTCTGAAATTTATATTAATAATTTTCTTAAGAAAAAAAAAATCTTTTAACGACAAATACTGATTTCTGATTACCTAATAACAATAATAAATATTTTTATAACGTGAACAATAATACACAAAATAAAAAAATTGTATATAATAATTTTTAAAAATTATATAATTTGATATTAGTTAATAATAGGAGTAGGTGGTGTGACGCATTTCCAGGGTACGTGGCAGGCCATTCTCCAATCACGATTATGTTTCTGTTCATACTAAAGTAGCCCTTTAACCACGCGCTTCCAACTTAAGTTTTACTGGATGATAACTATACAAAGATTTTTAAAAGGTTTTAATCATTTAAAATTTTATTATTTTTCAAAATAAGTCTTTTAAAAAATATAAAGTTAATAAAAATATGATAGATCACTTTTTTAGTAAAGAAATATAACATGTTATTCATATCTTTATCTTATTCGTATTTTTAAATATTTAAAATTTATTTTATAATATAAATTTTTATTAAAATATAAACATTATAACATTATAAATAATACATTTTTATTAACTCTTATATTATATTTTATTTAAATAATACAATCTAATTTAAATATTATATAAATAAATAATAAAACAAAGTAACATACTATTAATAAAGAGATAAAACAATAAAAATATTTTTGAAAAGGAATAATGACATATCAAACTAAAAAGGATTAAATAACAGATTATAAATTTTTAAAATATTAAAATATTATTTAAAATTTAAAAATATTATTTTAACCTAATTTGAATTTTATTTTAAATATCTATAAAGAAAAAATTTAATTATTTTTAAAAAAATAAAAAAGTAAAAATTATATTTTTATAATTATTGATAAAATAAAAAAAATGTACTCCTAAATCAAATATATATAACTTTGTATTTATTTTTTGATCAAGTTCAAGTGAACTGCACTTTATTTTTTAATATTTTTTCTGAAATTTATCTTAACCTTTTCATATTTATTATCACATCAAACACATTATTTTATCGTAATTTTTATGCATCACACATTTTATTAATATGTTACATACAGGGACAATAATAAAAGAAAATGTATTATGTATAAAAATAAAAAAAATCTTTATAAGGTAAAATAAAATCTACAATTCTATAAAGTTAAAAGAGATTACAATTATTCACAACAAATTAAAAAAGTGAATTAATTTTAAATGATATAATTATAAATTAATGCATTATAAAAATTGTTATAAAAAAAATAATGTTTGAGAAATGAGTAAAAGTATTTTGATGTTGTGTCTTTAATATTTTTTGAGAGTTTATTTAAGAGTTTTTTTTTTTTTTTTAAAAAAAGTATGCATCAATTTAAATGTTTTTATATATAAAGAGAGACACACAAGAGAAGACCCTTAAACATCCCTTCAAATCATTCACGAAACATTTGTCTATAAAAAGAAGCAGCTTCCCAATTTTATTTTATTTTTCTTGTGCCTGATGAATCAGAATTTGGTGTTGGTCCCTCCAAGATATCTAAAGTATTGCATATAATAAGAAAATAGATATGAAAAACTCAATGAGTTATCAATATCACTCTACCAAATTATTTTTCTAGGAAGTTTCACCATATATTCTTTTATTTTATGTATGGAAAAATACATTAGATTTGATTTGATTGGGATAATTATAAAAGATATATTGTGGCACCCACATGGATCTGCCTCTTCATCCTTCAACAACCTTCCAATTTTGAAATCCTTGCCTGCATTTCGCCCATCTCTCCCATTTCCAATCTCAATGCCTAAAATTGGATGAAGTTATATTAAATACCTCTAATTTTTCCTTTTATAGTACATATTCCTCACTCAATTAATAATTCAGAAAAAGTCAAAGCTACAAAGTATGAAATTCGTTAACAAGAGAAATACAATATATTATATTATTATCTAAATTAAGGAAATTTGTTAGCTAATATTATATTTTACATAAGTCAATATATGTAAATTCAGGAAATGTTAATGTAATAATTTGGTCACACTCTTAAATAATTTCATAGTATAAGTACAAGAAATTAGTATTCTAATACTAAATCAAGGGTTATTTTAGTTTATATATATATATATATATATATATATATATATATAAGCAATTCTTTTTCTTTTTTACCACTAAAGAAACACTATGTTACTTCTAACACCATTGAATTAGCAAAAATTTGTTAAACACGGTGACACAGAATCTGATCTTGCACTTTTTGGGAGCTTAGTTTTGAATCATCTTAATATTATAAAATTAATTATAATCAAAAGTAACCTGAAATAAAATGATTTGGTTCAAAAAATTTGATTCAAAAATAAATTTATGGGTAAATTTAGTATATAATTTTTGTTCCTGCTCAAGAAACACTAATCTTCAAGTCTCTGATCTGCAGTGATGATGTCTCTCTGATTGTTGCTGACGTGGGGAGGATACCTGCAAAAGGCACTCCGATGCAGAAGTCAGATTCGGTTATGAGCAATAAATGTTATTTTAGTAATGAAAAGTCAACCTTTTACATGTACTTTTACCTTCCTTATATAAACACTGTAATGGGCCAATGGGTCTGTCAAGCTAGTCTTGATTTTAGTCCTTTATTTAAAATAAATAATATCTTGATTATTAACCTAAATTAGGTTTAATTACCTCTTAATCCTGATGAAGGGTATCTGGCCAAATTAGGCCGAATAAGTACTCGGTTTCCTTTTCATACAAGTAGGAGCGAGTTGGTCCTTATCCAGTACAATTTTCATTCTAATGCAAAAGTTAATTGTATTATTTAGCTATAGTTTAGCGTGCTTAAATTTAAGAGTAAAATCATATTTAACAAGCAACAATTAAACGTAATACTTTCTTGTACAATCGTGATATAGTAATCAAATGTGATTCTGAGTATTGCTAAATATACGAAATTTGATCTATGACTAGCTCCAAAATATCCATAAATTTAATAAATTTCAACTTAAAAATAAGCGATTCATTTAATTATATGTTTGTATGAGTTAACATGCATGTGTAACTCACAGGTTAAATTAACACACAGAGTTTGTAGACCAACATGTTAACCTATAATATTTTTTTTTTCATAATTTATTTTTATTTAATTATTGTTAAGTAGGAAAAAAATAAACAACAAATTCATAAACAATTAAAAGATGTGGGCAAGTTCACCAACCAACCTGCTTAACTACAACCTTTAAAAACATTAATAAATATACATTAATTCGTATAAATATAAATCTTCATATATTAACTCGTATAATCGCAGATTTATACGTAATGTAAAAAAGAAACAAGTCCACTCTGCATCCATATAATTGCAACCTTTGCCAATACATATATTTCCGAGCAAATTATAAAGCATGTTTACTCCCTTTTAAACGGGCTTCAAATATATAGCTAACATTTTTTCTGAACAACTCTATTGGTGCTTCTAAAAGTCATCAAATAGACCTCTAATTTCCACTCTCAAGTGGTGATTCATATGCTCTTAAACATGCTTTCTATTTTAGACAGCTACTATAACTTGAAATATTCCGCGTTCCTCTACACGAGTCCTAGACTCTCCAATGCATGCAAGCATTAGTGGTCCCTTGCTATTTGTGTTAGTGCCAAGTGCATGCTATCAAATTAATGGAATTTGACCCTACAATCCTCTCTGGCAATCTGGCTAGCTAGCTCCATTATTTTTAGTTGTCACTTTCATGGGTGTCTTCGACTGTCACAGGGTACGGATAGTCTTATAGTTGTACGGGCCAATAAGGACAGACAAAAGTACAGATATAGTACATTATCTTTATGGCTCAGGCTCAAGCTCAAGCTCAACCATGCATGCATGTACATTTCCATGGTCAAGTAGTTCGACAACGTGCCACCTACACTACTGTTATTTTGGTAATTTACAGTCACTCTTTTTAAGTAATGATCAAAGATGTTTTTTAAGTATTTAATATAATTATATTTTTAGATACTCAAACTTGAAACTATTATTAAGTTAGAATAATTTTACATATGGTGGTGATTCATGTATTTAGTGATATTAAGTAAGTCTTATTTCAGTTATAAATAAATAAAATGATAGTCATTTTAGTTAATAGATATCTAAATTAAAATTTTGTGAAGTGTTAAAGTCCATTTCGTGCTAGTAATGAGCAAGACATAAGGCAAGACACATAAATTAAGGGGTAGGAAAACACAATGACATTTTTCAGTAACCTCTCTCGTGTATGTTTGATAAAATTATTTTCACATGCATTTTTGTAGGTTTATAGGAAATTTATCTAATTTTCCCCCTTTTTGATCATACATAAATGTTCTTTAGTTTTTATAACATGATATCGTGCACGTTTTCTTTTTTAAACGATGTGTAGACTTCTAATATCTTGTTGAATTAATTATATAGATTAAGATAAGTAAAAATAATATTAACAAAGAACGGTTTTTAATGTACTTTGATTAAAATTTAAGAGATGTAATTAGTAATATTTTCCCTTTTGTTTCATGTTTAATAGTAGATGAACCTTTCTTTTTTCTTTTTAATACTTTTATTTTACCTACTTATGACAACTGTTAATTTTATGCTTTTCTGCACCGTGCAATGGCCCATTGATCCTATAGTTTTTAAATACAATAAGAGTTGGAAAATTACGACTTAATTTGTTTGAGTTGTTAAAACAAATTATTTTAGTCTGACTCGATACAGTTCTAAGATCGAGTCAAGCAAATTTATTTTTCTATTTAAATTACAACATATATAAGTTTAAGACTAACTTAAATATGCAATTTTCACTTAATTGGATTGAAATAAATTTAGAAAAATATGAGTGATTCAAAAAATTTTTAAAATTATTTAAACTTAAAATATAATATTCAAACTTTATATTTTGATGAGTATAATTGAACTATCCTGGTTGGCTAGCCTATTTTTGTGAAGTATACTTGTTTAAAGCATGTGCGTCATTATAAATTATTTTCAAACTTATTTCATTTTTATCTTTATATATTAAATATAATTTTTCATTCTTAAAATATAACAATTTTAAAAATAATTTTAAATAAAATTTTTTTATGAGCTATCTGATTTATCATTATGCTATATGATTTCTTTTATATTAAGTAGTTAAGAATTGTTTAACTTAATAAAAAAAATTTAAGTACAAAATTATCACCTTTTTATTTTATTCTTATTTTAAATATTTATATAAAAAACACTAATACAATAAGTTATTTTTAGTGTAAACATATCCAACAAGCTCTTGTAAACTAGTCAAGTTGATTATCCCTTAATTCACTCAAGGGGTTTTTAATTCATTCTCTCTAATTTATCTTATTTTCTATTTTTATTCATAAAAATCAAATTAAACCTATTGAACAACGGCTAACTTTACTTTTTTCGTAAGAAATAACCCTCCACAAAATCCCGATTACAAAACTATTTGTACTCATATCTCTTTAAATTTTATTCAATGTTCTAATTACACAGGTTGAAAATTTGAAAATAAAATAATCTAAAAACATTATTGATACACATCTCTTCATACTTCTTTCTAATGAAGTGACATATTTTTTTATTTTTTCTTACTTTTAATTTTTAAACTAATGTTCAACCCTTATTAGCGAGGCTTCTTTTGAAAAACGTCAAACCATCGTGTCAAAAAATCTTACTATAAGTAGAACATTAGTTGTATGATCAGCAAGGCTTTCCTTAAAAAATTGATATGGCCTACGAGTGATTTTTCAAAGTAAATACCTTTGTTTGAATATATTAAAAAAAATTAAAGTCATGAGACAATTTTTATTATCATGAAAAGCAAAACTCAGTTCACTTAAATGATCTTTATGCTTCGAAAGAATTCTAAATGTTGACAAGAAATTTCCCTGAAATATACCAAAATGATATATTCTTTTTTCTTTTAAAAGAATTCCCAAAATGTCGTTTCAATAGTCTTTTTCATAAACTTGATACTTATTCAAACTTGCTTTTAAAAATAACTGTGATCGTATCAATAGATTGCACACAACATTAATTTAGAATTTTGGACAAATATATATTACCCCACGCTTCAATTTCATTGTTCTAGTATCGGTAAATCTAAGTTGTATCCATGGTTGTGTTGCACACATATACATGTTAGGTAATAACAAGAGAAGTAAACCAAATTCGAGAAGGTCCAGCTAATCCAACGGATAAAATCCATTGGCAAATGAAGTTTCCTTCAAACTTCCAACAATCAGAGCCTCTCTCTGAGAATATCTAATCAGAATTGAGTGTGGCAAGAACATGTGGGCATCATTAATATGAAGGCAATGGCATGTCAATGACCGTACGCTTAGCTGCCACGCACAATTATAAATCGATTGTCAAGTTATTTTCTTGGGTTCTTTGATTTAAATATTGGCCGTGTGTTCATGGAGAGATATCTTGAATTTTGATTTATTCAACTCCCAAGTATGCTACAATGGGGAAAGCAAACGGGAAAGAAGGATATGACTCGTACGGATTGACGACACTGTTCTCTTCACACATGCACATTGCAAATGTGACTGCTAATTTGTAATTAACTAATTATTAATCATTTTCACCCTCCTTGTTCACTCTCAATCCAAAATAAAGGCATGCCCGTTTCAAAGTTTATATAACTACTAGACAGTGTATTTTTAAAAGTAATAATAATATTATTTTTTATTAAAAAATATTGAGATGTAATAAAATTTATAATTTAAGTGTATTATTGTGCTTTTTTTTTAATTTTTACATTTATTTTTAAAATTTTTATGTCTACAAATTTTTCTATTTATTAAATTTTAAAAAATATTTTATATAATTTCAAGATAACAAATGAATAAATCTTTTTTTTAACGAATCTTAGTTGTCAGTATGTTAAGGACACTGACTTAAAAAATTGAAAGCAGAAAGTTTCTTATTAAAAATCATGAAAGAAAATATATTAATAATATTTTTAACAATGTTTTATTTTCAACTCTTTGATTAACACTTTTAATCAGTATCTATCTTTTTTTTATTTAATATTTTCTTCATAAAGTAAAAAAAAAAATTATTATTAAAATATACAAAAAGATATAGCATAGTTTCAAAGTTTATTACATACTCAGATGAGGAGGATAAAAGTGCACAATTTATAATTAAACTAATTTTTAGTGCGTATTTAAGGGTATATGGTAAAAATTTATTAAAAATTTTAAAATAAAAAAGGAACTACAAACTTTTTTATACATTCTTAGTTATTAATAAAAAGTCTATTAAAAATTATAAAAATTGTGTGAATCTCACACATAATTTAATAATTTATATTTTTAATTTAATAATTATATTTTATATTTTTATATTTTCTAATCAATTTCAACTAATAATTAGAAGTGTGTTAAAAAAAAGTGTACTTTTAATATTTTTTTTATAATATAATGTATTGATAATATTTAATAATACAATTTTAATTTCTTATTATATCATTAAACATACTTTTTTATTTTTGCGTAAATCCCATGTTAAAAAGGTAGCAATCAGATATTTAACTTTAGTTTTGACTTTTGAGATAGTAGTTTGAACAAATAAACCAACATAAAAAATTGAAATTCTTACTTTGGAATCCTTATACATTGGAAGGTCATTGCTAGCGGACAATAACAAAACCTTTGCTGTCAAGTTGACAAAACTCACCCGTGTATGCCTACTGCAGAAACTTGAAATTAACAAAATGTTTGTTCATATTCAAATGTTAGTGAAATCTTTACATTAACTCAGTTCATGCATAGAGATTATCTCTATGTGTCCCACATAAGAGACTAAATTTAACAATATTTAATAATAGACCAGAGGAAACCCTTTGAACCTGTGAAAATAAAATAATTAATCAACCTTGACCCAAGTTAGAAAGAGTCATTTGTTCCCAAAAAAACGCTGTCTTTTCCACGCATATCTCCTCCAGCATGTGAGCTGAGTTGGCATTTTCCCAAAGCAAAAATGAAACAGTTTGCCTTTGTGCCATACGAACAGAGATTCCATTCAAAACCTTAATAAACTAAAAAGCAAGGAAAAACACTTCTTGCATTTCGCTTTTTGATGTGTATAGATTTGATGAGACTAATTACATTGCAATCATATGATAAAATTTAAAAATAAAATAAAATGTAATGTATAGAGCTAGTACGAATGACATTACTAAAAAAAATAAATAGAACAAGTAAAAGGATAAAGGGTTGCAAAAGTCAAGTTATGCAGGCGTTACGTTAGCAAGTAAGCGTTGTTATTGTACCGTTGAGATGTGTGGAGGCTTTGATTTATTAAATATTGTTATTAAAGAGAGAAAAGGATAGCAGACATAAGCCACAGTTGCATGAGGAAAGGAGGGTCCATAACGCGGTTTTGCAGCTGAGTACAGAGAAGCAACAGCTGTGCGATTGCATATGCAAATGGGTTCACTATTAAACTGCGCGTCCAGTATTTTGTGTGTATATATTTTACCTTCCAACTTTTTGTGCATAACAGCTTTAGTCCAAATGCTTGTTACTCATCAGCACCTGCGGATCCTCGAAGCTGCCTCTACCTTAGAGAGAATCCTATGTTCTCTCTCTTTCTACTTACAATATTGTGATAATCAATATTTATTGTTGCTTTCCTGAAATAGCTACAACTTAAGATAACATATAATAACACGAAGCACATTTTTTCGTATAAAATAAGCACATTGTGTAAAAATAAGCACAAACATTTTAGAAAAAAAATTTACAAGATCTAGTGTGTGATCGATTTAACTTTTTTTATTAACTTTCTAAAATTATTTTTCAAAAAAATATTTAATTGTTTCAAAACATGCATCTATTCCATGTAAATGTTAAGGTAGACATCATCTGGAGAGAAAAATATACAGTGTTTGCAAAGATACAAATTTACCCTTACTTTGTGAGTTCAACCTAATATTTATATATTGGTTGTCATCTGGGAATTAAAGATGAAGTCTTATGCCCAAGTCAGACAATAAAAGACAGGAGGATTAATGTGCTTTATTTTCCTCTTTTTGATTGGTCCACAGGATTCGTGTTTAATGCATCCATAGATTGCCCATCCTCGCTAGAAGTCTAGAAGTGTTGTTTGAATTTTTTGTTCAGTTGTATCATTTGAGTTACAAGTATTAACTATCCTTCAAAGTTATCAACTAAAAAGTCGTATCACATTTTATTTTGTACCGCCGTAGAATAAATTCTCCTTGACCTTGAGCATCCCACAATGGCAATTGTTTGTCTTGACAACATGTTTTAAAGTTAAAACTAGATTTCTGTGCTCGACTATTCAAAACTGGCCGGAAGAACATTAGTAATTTTTACTGCACTCGGAATCAAGTTCACATAGCAAGTGATTAAATGTGCTTAAAAAGACACACATACACATAGATGCTAGATATAAGTAGCTTTATATTATGATAGAGTTAACTCTTGAATAGAGATTAATTTTATATATAATATCTAAATTTGAGATCTTAAAAAATTAAATATGTATCAATTGAACACTTTTTGTTAATTGATGCATGTTTAAATTAGTTTTAAAAAAATAATTGTTTCTTAAAACAGGTAATTAATGAACAAGTTATTTCGTTATGATACGGCATTATTTATTATTAGACTATTTTTCATCAAAACGTAATATATGGTAATTAAGTGACAAATTAAAATATTTTACTCATATGAAAGGAAGCTTCACTAAGAAAGGACATGAAAGTCATTTGAAGAACTAAGTTGTTTGTATTAAATTAAAATAAACTAAAACCATCTGGCAACAGTGTCCTATCTTGACTACCGAGGATTTGCTAGGTGCTACCTTGAGACGCAAGCCTCTATCACTCTATCTATAAATAGTGGATTTCTTCTTCCCCACTTTCACCTCCCATCTCATTCTTTTCCCCCACTTTCAGAACAGCAACAAGAAAGAAGAAAAAACAGCAAAAAAAAAAAAAAAAAAAAAACTACTCAATCTTGAACACGTATTCTTTCTACATCAAATAAACAATTTTTGTTCACTGAAGAAGGGTCTTCAGTTCTTTACACTTGCAGCCATATATGATGGTTAAGTCAGAGCACAAGATCAAAACAGAACCATCAAAGGCAATGAGATCTTTGGCCTCATCAGATAGCAAGAAGAAGAAGAAGTACAAGGGAGTGAGAATGAGGAGTTGGGGCTCGTGGGTATCGGAGATTAGAGCACCAAACCAAAAAACAAGAATATGGTTAGGCTCTTATTCAACACCAGAGGCAGCAGCTAGAGCCTATGATGCTGCACTTCTTTGTCTTAAAGGTTCTTCAGCAAATCTTAATTTCCCTTCAAGTTCCTCGCAATACATTCCTCAAGACACTGTCATGTCCCCCAAATCAATCCAAAGAGTTGCAGCAGCTGCTGCAAATAGTTTCATTGACAATGCCACCACTCCTGATTCAGCCTCATCATCATCACTGGTCTCATCCCCTTCAATGGTCTCTTCTCCCTCTGATCAAATCGATTATGACGCATCCCTAGTGTCATCTTTTGAGGCCTACACTAGCTGTGATCAAGCAAATGAATCAATGGCTGTGATGGAACCTTGGTATACCTTTGATGGTCTTCAATCCCCGAAGTATGTTGATCACATGTTAAGTGGTGCTTTCTTTGATATTGATTCGTCCCATTTGCTTGATGATCTATATGAAGAAAGTGACATTCGTTTGTGGAGCTTCTGCTGAGGGAAATTCAAGCCAACCCAAATTCTATTTGAAAAAAAAAATCAATTTTTTGTTTGTCTTCAATGGTACGATTTGAAGATATTACTGACCGTGACCATATTAAAATTTGTATACTCTATCTACATGTAGTGCATGTTAAATGAAATTCATACAGAGACAAGGCAATTTTTGGCCTCTCTTATGTGAATTTCTACATGTTTGCAATTATGTATCATTGATGCAAAGCTTGTTATGTCAATGTCATGAATGTTTTCCCATGTGTCATGGAATAAAGGGAGGAAAAAAAAACATATGGTCATCAATATCCTTCGTTATAAGCAATTCCTTTGATGTAACTATGGGAGAAGACTTTTGCTATTATGAGTATCTTTGGGGAGACCTTTATTACTTGAGAAGGTATCAAAGATGCTTATTTCCGATTCACCGAGAACAGGGAAGGGAACCATGTACAGTGCGTGGTAACTTGAAACCATTGAAAAGTGTGTCTCTTCTAAGCATTGTCTGCTCTTCCGCGTGCCCAAAGAACAAAGACTGTTCCCTTGTTTTGATGTTTAAGTTTGGTATTTTGTGTCTTATTCTTCTCTTAGGTGAGAATTGGGAATAAACCTGAGCTGTACCCCTCTCCCTCCCACAGTTTTGGGTTAGGATTTGGGAATGCTTTTAATTAATCAAGTTGGTGAAAGCCAAAATAATGTGATTGATTAATATCAGAGATGATTTGATTGTATGATGATTTCATGGATTTCTTTGTACCTCAGTTGGGCCAACTTTGTTTGCCTTTAGACATATGATATCTAGTGAAAAAGAAAATTTCTAGTCATGACTGTCGATGCAAGCAACTCTTTTTTTTATTCTTTTGTATTTCATGCTAATGTAACGTGTTGAGAATATTATATGCAAGATCATATTCCTTACATAATAAGAGGGCTAGACAAACTTTGACGCTGGCCAACTTTTGAACTTGATCATGTGTCCAAACCATATGGTCTAGCCGATTTAGTAAACATGACCTGTCCTCTTGTGAAATGGGCGAAGGCATGGGATGCCATTCTCTCATGTTCTTTTTACATTGCATCTAGCAACTCTCAATTCTCTATTAGGACAAAGTGGCCTTCACGGGCTATGCTTTCTCACAATGTGAGTGCACAAGAAAGCTTTTGCTTTTGGTATTACTTGTTCACATATACGTGGGAAGAAGAGAAGGGGATCTCCCCACTCCTTTCACAGTTTGACTATACATTGAGGGACCTTTGTTGCTCTGCATATACACATTCCTGGGCCTACTAGAATTATGTCCCTACGGGCATCAATTTAATTTTGCTTATTCTCAATTTTATGCACATGAAAATGATATAACTAAATGACAATTTAAATGTTGCGTTTTGAGACACAGCATGTGAGTGCTCTCATTTTGGCCATCAGCATGTGAGTTAGTGACAATCTATCCCCGGTTATATAATGTATATTGTAAATTATTAGTGTTTTGTTTGATATTAACACGCGATTTGTTTGCTAAACGCAGTACCCAACCAAATTTGTGGTATTTTTGGCAAACCAGCTCCTTTTGGATATATGCTAATACTTTACTAGTAAATATACCATTTTATTATCATACAAGTAATTAACCGGCACTATAAAATTCAACGAGACCATGATTATTAGGGTTGTCATTCTCGATTTTATTTTTGACACGTTTCAATGACATTAGATATAGTGATTAATATGTATCTCATAGAAGAAGCCATGGGTAGAGGTATGAGCAATTGTTTATGGTATTTCATGTGGGATCATTTAATGATTGTGAGAAAGAATAATTGCTAACCAAAAAGAAAAGGGAGTGGTAGGGAGGGCGAGATCCAACATTGAGCATGAGTTTAATGATCCATGCTTGGCCTTATTAAGACATGATTTTATTAGTGAAGTTTTGATTAATCAATAATCAATAATCAATAATCAGGGTAGATTTCAATCAAGGAAACGTTTATTCTTTGATTTGTTTCACATGGCGCCCTTTCCAAGAACTCAAATTAAAGCAACCTTAGATGCAAAAATCTTGCATGTATATTTACCGTTACGGCGTCTCAGCAACGACAATGGTTTTTTTTTCGTTAAGCCCACAGTCTTTTAACTCAGTTGCAACAATTTGGTCTAAAACGTGTGAGTGAAAGTTTGAAACTGTTGACAGTAGCATTGGAATTCTACATAGTTGCCAAACTGGAGACTCGGGAGACACACACACGCTGTTATAACAACCAAAGTTAGGGTGACGAGTTTAAATTGTTTGAAGTTAAACTATTTTAAATTTTATGCTTTTTAATTTTAAATTTTACTCACATTTAAAATTTCAATAGGTTATCAAAGTTTAATTAAAAAATAAAAATTAAATGACTAAAATTAAAATTAGAAGTGTCGACTTAAAGTATACTCTTATGGTAAAATATAAGTCTTGAATATGAAAATAAGTGTTTGAACTGTAAAAATTTCACATTTACAAGAAGGTCATGAATCAAATTTTTAATATTATAAAACGGTCTTTCGTTATTTTTATAAGAACAAAATGAACAAAATAATTTGCTTTTATTTATTACTTTTCTTTTCTTTTTCTTCACTGGATGTGACGCAATTAATAGCTTGTCCTTTCCCATAAACTTATGACGCCAAAATATCAACTTTGGGGTCATCTAATATCGTTTGTAGTAATAGTAAATAAAAAATAAAAAAAAATCAACAAGATCATTACGATTATTATGAAATCTTGGTCTTCAGACATTTACGGAACCAAAAACATTAGTTCGGCTTGTCTAAATAACTCTTGGTCTTTATTGCCTACTATGATGAAATCAACAAATGTTTATGAATATTCATAAATTGATATAATTTAATATAATAATAAACCGAAATGAAAAATATAAAAACATTTACTTTTTTAGTCAATTGGATCAAATTTTTGTGAATTTTTATATATTTTTTTCTATTTATAAATTTATCATAATACTCGTATATTTATATACGCGATTACCATTTTGATATATTTTTCCATCCATAATTTTATCATCTAAATTATGCATTATAATTTTAATGTTGTTATAAGTTTATCATGTCTAGATTAGTTTAAGATTATCTTTTATTCTCTTTTATTATATAACTAATTACGTGTTTTATACTGAAAAAATAGTTTTAGTAAAGAACGGGTAAAAAAGATAGTATGAGATTCCCTTAATAAGATTACAAAATAAATTATGACAAAAGTAATTAAGTTAGTTGGTAATTTAAAAATGTTGGCTGTGATATTAAAATGTTTTGAATTATTTGTATTATATTTAATATATTGTTTCATGAATTAAAAAAAAAAAAGATTTGAACCTAATTATTTCAAACCCAAACTGATTGGACAATAGAATAAAAAAGCTAAAAATATTAAATTGGATAACTATTTTCTTAAAATCGATTTATTCTAATCTTCAAATATCCTTACACGGCATATGTAAATTAAAGTATCATGGTACAAAAATACAACTAAGTTTAATATAAAGACACAATAGCTATTAGCTATCCCAATTTTCATTATTGACTTTTTACTTTCCCAAGTAAAACTAGACAATTTTCAGTCTTATATTATGTTCTTTTCTTCAAGGAAAAAAGTAAAGTTTTTTCCTTGAAATAGGCTATTTTGTGATGACTTTTTTAAAATAAAAAATGTTGCGTACTTCTTTTTATTTTGCACAAGAAGTGCTAACTCACTCTTCTACCCATTTTCTAATAGGAATGGAACAGTTTCAAATGAAATGATGATTCTAGATGCACCACTTGTTTTACTTAATAGAAAAATATAAAATAAAAAGAACTTTTTTGGGTCATGGAATTGTATTGGGCCAAGCAGCCCAAAATTCGTAGTGGGCCTTAAGATTCAGTAACGAAAGGACCTTCTCGTTGTGCTCTGCGATTGCAAATTGCAATCGATTCGTACAGTAGCATTTCGCCGCCGATGGGTCTCTCAAAGGAACAGCTTCTTGCGCGGTTAAAGGTTCTCACATCCATCTCGCAACTATGAGTTTTCCGCTATTACAGTTAGCATGCAATTTTAGATGCTTCCCAGATTCAGTATGCACGTTCTCTTGTTCACTGAAACTAACTGTTTTTGTTATCTTTCTTTCACAGGACCTTCAGATTCAATTTTCACAGTATGAGCATCCAGTTGTTTTGACTGTTGAGGCTCAGGTAAAAGTAAAAGCGTTTATTAGTATGTGCTCTATGTTGTTCATTTTATTTTATTTCTGATTCATTATCTGTTTTACCTTCAGGCTAAATATGTTGGACATTTGGGAGGTGGGTTGAGTAAAAATTTATTTTTGAAGGTATGTTATATTTATAATTTAAGGGGAACTATATATTTTTGTGATTTGTTGTTTTTTATTTAAATAAAACAATGTTAATGAATGAATGTACCCTGATTTCTATACATTTTGAACAGGACAAGAAAAACAGGTTTTATATTGTTTCTGCTTTAGCTGAAACTAAAGTAGATCTCAAAGGTATGAATAATTTTGTAAACCTGAAGAGTTTCTGATGCTTCACTTGAATGGATGTTAATGAGACTTCTTCGTTGCTTCAAAGCTGAGCAGTGTTATCTCAGCGGCTTGGTTTGGGAAAAGGTGGTATCAGAATGGCACCTGAAGAGGCTTTAGGTGAATTACTCCAGGTCTGTCTATTCTTTGTTCTATCATTTTGTTGCTCTACCCTTTGTTTCTCGCTCTTACCTTGTTTAAAATTTTGTGTCCATTAAAGATACTAAAAAGCTTGAAGGCATATGTTCTAATATTTATCTTGGCCTCTTAACAAATTCAGTCTTTGGATAGAATATATTTGTGGTGTTTTCTATTTCAACATTTGAATTGTAAAATTAGGCTGGTTACCTTTGTTATTACCATTCATTATATTACCTTTATTTATTGCCATTCATTATATAGCGTATAAGAAAACTAATTCTTGTTGAGGCATTTGCTTTTTGAGTTGGTGGCAGAAATTGGTAAATCCTGTGAATCTCATTCTGATCAAAGGATTTGTCCAATGTTTCACAGTGTATAATATATTGTAAGGATGAATAATGTATTAATTTAGAACCTTATTATCTATGAAAGTAAAATGTTCCTTTTAGTTTTATGTTAACTTGATACTGTCATCAATTATATAATGGTTGCTACTATTATACCAAGCTAGAAATTAATAATAATGTAATTTAGGAAGAAAATCAACATTCTGCAAATAACAAGGTTGAAATTATTGTCCTATCTGATGACCTTATTTTTCCTTATCTTACTAGGTACCCTTGGGCTGTGTCACACCATTTGCACTAGTGAATGAATCAGCACGGTATGCTTATGTTCTTATGTTTGTTTACTTATGAGATGTCCAATATTAATGTTTTGGTAATGCTTTGTCACATTACCAAATTGATTGCAATACTGTTCTCTGCAGCTATCTACTAAAGGCATTCCCCTCTTTTACTGTTAAAATGTTTTTGCTTTGACATACACCCATCACTAACTGTTGTCCTTGTAGCTTTCTCTTTTTAGTGTCAAATCATATCATCTATCCTCTTTTAGTTTTCTTAAGTTTCTTCTTTTACTAATGAAAATTCTACTAGTTCTGAATTTAAAGTTTCTGATTTTCTCCCATAAAATTTAACATGGTCTTCTCTTGAATGACGGACTAAATCTGTTAAACAATTAATAATATCATGATCTCAGTCTAACTTGTTTTTTTAGTGCACTGGCTTGGTAAAGGATTGTATTAGATAGAGGTCTTTATGTTTTTGCTTGTTAGACTATTCATAAACATTGTTCTAACCCACTCAGGTAATCTATTTCTTGGGAACTAACATGTTTTTCTTTTATGTCATATCATTTCCTTTCTCAAGAGATGTTTCACTGCTATTGGATCAAGGGTTCAAGACTCAGAAACACTGCTTCTTCCATCCACTGTCAAATGACGTGTCCATATGTAAGCAAGTAGACTCTCTTATGGAAAGAGGAACAAGCCTGTCCCCCCTCCCCCCACAAACACTCATGCACACATTAGGGGATCCTTTTACTTGTATCTGTCCACTGTCCTACACCATGGGTCCAACAATTGATATCAGAAGTCCAAACAGGACTTCCTTTCATGTGTGCTTACTATGACAATTTTGGAAATTAAATATTTATGGCATTTTGTATCCAAATGATATCTTTTAGCTCATCTCTGTAGATGCAATTCATAAGGTTTTAGGTTTTTGTCAGATTCATTATGCTTTCATGTGCTGAACATCTCAGTAAATTAATTAGGGTTCTATCTGTTTAAATTGTAGCTCTAAATGCTCATGATCTTGACAAATTCCTTAAATCAATAGGAAGAAATCCCTCATATGTTGATTTGGAGGTGAGTAAATTTGAGGCACCACTTTTATTTTTTCTATTTTCCCTAAATAAGTTCACCTATTATTCATTCATTGATAACCGTCATATGTCTGCTTTATCCCCCTGCAGGCCAATCCTACAGTGGGGAAAGATCAACCCCCTGATCTAGCTGCATTAGTTCCATCTGGTTCAATAATTTTGCCTGATCGACCAGAAAGGAAATCTTCTTCACAGGTTCCTAAGGATGTAAACAATGTTTCTGTGAATAATAGGCCCAGTACAGTTTCAGGTAAAAATTCTATTACCTGCAACATTCAATTGTTCATTATTTGCATTGAAACAAATGCTTTTTTCGATTTTATTGTAGTCATTTCTATAATTTGAATAGTATGCACAGAGAGGATTGTGCACCTATACCTTGTGTTTTTCTCTTGTTTGGCAGTTGCTAAAGGTGGCTTGTATTATTACTGAAAATCCTTTTTCTTTGCATGATATTCTTTGTCTTCCTTTTCCATGTATCTGAAATGCAAGCAATTCTTAGTGGTTTAAGTTATCATCTAAACTAAACTTGACCACAGAAAGCTAGTGCAGAGCCAAAACTGATGATACCACTCAATGGGATTGATAAGAATCAGTCAAAATCTAGATCTTATCATGAGATGGAAAATGGAAAAGAGGTTATATTTGCTTTCTTCCAGCTCACAACCTATTTTTTCGTCTACATCCTCTGAAGATTAGCTCAAGGTTGTAAAGTCCAAATTTTTTTCATTAGGCATTTAAACAATGTATAATTCATTCTTTAAGCAGTCAGTTTTTTTTTCTTATTCTGGCTATATGACACCTTTGCATGACTAGTCTCCATTTAAAAAGTTTCTAATTCATGTTTAGTTTTTTTTTTTCATGTATTTTTTTTATCTCTGTTAACATTTACTATCCATAAAAATTGAATTTAATACCACTTGAAACTAAAAGTATAAGAGGACTCATTGACCTTGTGATCCATATGAGACAAGTTGCAAATTTATCTAGTCTAGTAAAATGTGTTTGTTTATTGTATACCTTTACTTTGGGTGAAGCTACTATATACAACATGCTGTTACATTATGTAAGATTCTTACATTAATGACTACTGACTATAGAAATGTTCAGCATTAGGTTGTGCAGGATAATATTTTTCACATTTGACCTCTTAAGTTGGTTTTTGACCGGTGTAGTCATCCTTACTTAGTGGAATAAGACTTAATTGTTATTGTATTTGACCTCTTAACTAGGGTACTAACATGGTAGTCAAAATCGCGTTTTGGATCGTAGAATACGATTCTATGATCTCCAGCCACTCCTCCGTGCTGAGTCAGTGTTGGGAACACGAAACGGTGGGATCGTTCTTGCTGGAACGTAAAATCGTTGAAAACGCACGATTCCGATGTGCAAAGAAGAAGATATTTTGGGCTAATGACCCGCGACCCCAACCCGACTTCACTAAAGGAGTTGGAACCCTAAAATTCCAAAAACTCCGCACTGCGACTTCTTCCTTTCTTCTTCACTCTGTTCTGCCAGACTTTACGTCTTTGTTGTGCAACTTTTCTGCGTTTTTCCGGCGACTGCGATTTGGCTCCGCGATTGGATTTTTTCTGCAATTTGGTCTGGGATATTCTGCTTTCTGGGCCCTGTCTTGGTCTGCGATCCCTATAACTTTCGCTCCGATGACTGTGTCTACTCCAGCGACCTTGTCTGTGCCGACACTCTACTTTGCACCGTCAACCTTGTCAAAGCAGAGCATTTTGCTGTGGTGGTCATCCCAGCTGTATTTGCAACCATTGTAGCCTCATTCGCAGTGCAACAATGTCGCTGGAGTATAAGTAGTCAACTTTTCCTTTCTATCCCCAGAATGAGCAAATTTTAGGGTTTATTAAGGGTAAAAAAGACTTCGTAGTTTTTAAAAATAATCTGACTTTTTCTTTTAGCCCTTAAAATGGCTTTATTTTAAGTCTTTTTTAGGAGTAAAATAGTCTTTCTAACGAAATACCTTACCTGATCCATTTTTTTCTTCCTCTCTGTCTCTGTTTTTAGCATGTCCCTGTCTTTGGTTTGAATTGAGTGTTGCTCCCTTCCCTCATGTGTCATTGTTTTACCTCCCCATCTTTATATTTATACTATTTTACATGCATTTATACATTTTTGTAGGATCTTACGAGTTACGATCTTATGAGTTACGATTTTTCATTCCCTTCCGATCCTACTTAGAATCTTGATTTTGACTACCATGGCTACTAAAGTTCAACACATTAGTTAATTAATTTTGCAAGGGCATCAGAAAAGAAACCTTGTTTGTGGTTTAAATATCTTAGTGATGTGGTGATTAAATTAGTAATGGAGTAACAATCTTTCTTATGCAGCCAAAGTTGTCAAGCCATTAGATGGTGGGAAAGATGCAAAGGGGCCACCGGTCAAAAGTATTCATTCATCAGGCTCCTTTGCAGATGTTGGGCAATTCGTTGAAGAGATATTGCAGAAAACATCAGAATTATTGCTTTCAGAGGTAAAAGAAAAGTGTATGCTTTCATTTCAATTTCAAACTTATGCTATATTTCCTGCACCATGCTGAAGAATCTTTGATCATGCAGGTGAAGGAAGAAAATATAAGGTTACATGGAGAGCAGCTGGGTGCTGTAGTATCTAACAAATTAAAGAAAAACTTCATCTCAGATTTCAAAAACCTTGCTGTAAGTATATGTAGATGCCAATAAACTTTTCCTCGTTAAAGCTTTTCATGTTATGAAATTGTGGTTCTGATCACTAGATTTTCCTTATCACAGATGATATTTAAGAACACAGCATATACAGAAGGGTTCCATGCTGGTACTCGCCGTCGGCCCCATCCCCTCTGAAGCTTACGATGATTTCAGATTTGCTGGCAGGAAAGTAAGAGGGACCAAAATTTGAACTCCAACTTTTACTCACGAAGATTGATTGAACATTCATACTTGAAAATGTTTGGTTGGGAATTGATGATTTCAAACTATTTGATCAATGAAAAAAACAGGAAGGTGGTCATTTGAAAACTAAGGTAAACTACTTTGAAGATTGTCAAAGTATGGTAATTCTAAATGTGGCTATAAATTACACACCATACTATCAAGTATTTTAAAATTAGCTTTTTACTAATTACATTTTTAGCAAATTATTTAATTATTTTATGTAAAACGTAAAGTGTTTCTATATGTTTTGAATTAGTATTTATACTTTATATATTTAGTATATACTTCTCTATTAATTAAATAAATTGTCAATCATTTGAATTTATTTTATGAATCATTACTTTTATTTTATTTTGTTTAGGGATGAAATACAGAAATCGTATATATTTTAATTGAGAGTAATGATATCAGCACATTAGTGGGATTGTTATGAAATTTTACTCAAAAGTAAAATAAAATAAAATAAAATTGCTGCCATTAAATGACACCTATACATTAGCACAATACACTAATTTAGTATGTAGGGAAGGAGATGAACTATTTGTTGCTCCTAGGGATTAAAACAAGAATTTATAGGGTATTGCAATCAATTACAAAGGACTTCTGCTTTCGAAGGGGAATTACAGAGGACTTTACTACTCGAGATATTTAAGTTTGTTTTTTTTTTTTTCTTTTCTGGATATTTCTTTGGGGATGGATGGTCATCAGTTTCTATTCACAGCACAGCATACGCAATGACAGATAACCAGTGTGCGTGTGTTATAATGATCTGTCGTGATTGCCATTGTTGAGAAACAAATATTTACATTATACAATAAATTGATATAACACGGTAACCAATAACCATAAGACTATGACATGGCATCTTTTATTGGCAACACTCTCACCCTTCCTTGCCACATATATTTGTATTTAAATCTTACATTTGTTGAATGGAAAAATAAATGCAACATTTATGGAATGACAGATAACCGTGTAAGATAAGTATTAAACGAATCTCAATGCCCATTTTACTCGGATGTTTGAATAGCAAGCCAATGTTACTCCTGCAAAACGCATTTCAGCCGTTGAAGCTTCAATTAGAAACAGGCCTTCAGTTAGACATGGGTAATTTAAAACGCAATAGAAGTTGTCAAGGCAAAGAAAAAATGCAAGCTTCAAACTAAATCATATTAACTTACTCACGATCATGAAGTACTGTCTACTGCGATTACAGAGAAGTTAAAATCCAAACCAGCACTTCAACCTCAAGCTTGATGTGAATCCTTGGAGAGCTTAAAGAATGCAGCAAAAGCGCTGCCTTGGATTAGCTTCTGAAAACGAGTTGAAAAACGATATTCATTAATATACAGATCAAGTTTATTTGTTGGCTTTTTCATTTTTCTGTTTTTCAGAGGTTTCAGAATTTATCCGGATACTCTTAATAGAGTTAGATGCCAATTAAAGATGTTGAATTTAGAGAGAATACATGAATAATAAATGGAGAGTTAATTCACGTAATATACTGGTGAATGAATTTCAAGAAAACTTTTCTAAAATTATTTTCCAACTGCTCTGCATCATGTTTGAATTCAGCATGATCAATAATCACTACTAGCCAAAACACATTTCGATCTAAGAACAATTCTTGCACCAACTTTCTATAAACAGCCTATTAAAATATCAAAATTCATTAAAATAATAATAATATTAAAATTTGAAACAAAGTTGATATTAAAGTTAGGATTATGCTAACCAAGACTTTAAAAATACTTATTAAATAATTAATAAATAATAATATTTTTAATTAAAAATCACATTGAAATATATTGAAAATCATAAAAATAATTACATTAATTACGTTTTTTAATAATTTTTTTTTTTTTTAATGTTTGTCCTAAAAGTTATTTTCACATTATCTGAAACTTTTAAGATTGAAATGAATAATGGATGAAGCGATTAATTGAATTAATCAAGTATCATTCACCCCTGGAAGAAGCGGCAGCAACATGATCACTTGGTTGAGGATGAACCCGTCGATACCTTGCATGGAAAGGCCAAAGAGAAGCAAGGCGGGTCCACCTCCTCAAGCAACGTCTAAACCTACCTTCATTCTCTTCCTCCTCCACTTCCGAACAAGAAGACGACGACGCCGGAATCTCGTGTCTGCAAACAGGGCAAGAATTGTGAAGCCGCAGCCACGGAACAATGCAATTGGAATGATATATATGCTTGCATGCAAGTTCCCTCGCTTCTCCACCCACTTCGAACTCTTCCTGACACACCGGACAGTGAGAATTCTCTTTCAGATGCGTCGTCTCGATTTTCACAGTGGGAATCGCGTTTATCGCTCTCTCCGGCGCCGGCGCGGGTCCTGGGCGGTCGTTCTCCGTCAACTGCTCGATGAGTTCGTTCAGCCCTGGCCCGAAGTAGTAGTCCCTGGCGTCCACACCGCGCGGGAGTGGACTCTCCCGCGGGGGAATATTATTAATGGGAACGAACGGCTCCGAAGGATCCAAAGGACGAAGAATGATCCATGTGCGGGGACGGTGTTGGATTCCGGGTTCGGGTTCGGAGCTTTCGGGTCGGGTGGAGCCGCGGTGTCGAGAACGGCGCCTGGTCCGAAGGACGGGAACCTCTTGTGGATCGGGGTGGGCCCAGCGTCGGATGGGAGGGTCGAGCATGAGAGAAAGCGCTTCGAGCAAACGCGCTTCTGGAGAGGGATCGGGTGTGGTGAAATCCACCAAGAGCCTTGGCCTGGGCATGTTTAATTCCATGATGAATTGCCCGAAGCAGCGTGGGCACGTGATTTCCAGGGGGTTATCGGGTGCGGGACGGACCATGCGGTTGCACTGGAAGCACCAGTAGAGCTCGTTGGGCATTGCGCCGTTGTTTCTCTCTCTTGGTGGACTCATTGACATTTTTTTTCTTTTTTCTTTTTTATTTTGTTTTTTGAGAGTTCGTTATGTTTGTTATGAAATTGATGAATGGGGAAGCATTGCAAATGATGTTGTTATATAGAAGAGTAAAGGATGACTTATGGGTTTCCATGAAGTGATTCTTTTTAGCGCATAGGTTTTTAGGTTTCTCACTGTTCCTTCCTTTGGTAGGAAAAGCATTAGTGTTTCTTTGGGGCAAACTCCCAACGTTGCTTCTTAGTTTTTATGTTTTGCTTTCCAGATTTTGGATTAGGAAGGAGTGTTGGTGGCTTTCTTTTTTGGGAAGGAGCAACTTCTAAATGGGCCTAGCTACTTCCTTCACGCTTCACCAGCTTAAGCTATACCCAAACCCAAATATCCAATCCCTACTAGGCTCTGGCTCAAGGCCCACTTTATATCACATACAAATCTCTTAGGATGACCCCTTAGGAAGATGCTGATTCGCTTCAGAATCGAGCGATGTAGTAGTAACACTTTTCTTGCTGATAAGTTTGTCCAAAATCATGAGGATCTATGTGTAAGTATAATGTCCATGCAAGAAATCATTCAACAACCAATCAAAGAGATGTTACGAATATTATCATCCTACATTGCTATAAAATTTAAAATAATGTGTGATAAATGAGTAAACCATGGCCACGCTTAGAAGCTCCACCAAGTATGGTCTAATCAGCTTCATCTTAGTATCTGCACGTCCTTGTTCCCTTTCATTCATGAAGTCATCAAATTAACGGGAAAAGTTCACTTTTCAGCCAACTAAAAATACATTCATTCAGAACGGTAGTATATAGTTGCATGGTCACCCACTTTAAACTCCTCCATACAAATGGGACCAAAATTGTTAGAAAGCAAGTACTACAATCATAAGAATTACTGATTTAACCCTTTTTTTGTCAGAAAGTCTTCAGCTTTGGAACATTGTGGAATTTAAATCTTTTGTTTACATTTGCTTCTTAATCGTTAAGTATTTTTCACCCTTTAATTCAATTACAAGTTACATTTTACTAAAAGGAAAAAAAATGCTACTCATCAAGCACAAAGAAAAGTGTATGAATGAAAAAGAAACAATAACTTTATGAGAGAAACGATAGTTCGAGTCATTGATTAGTAAACATTCAGGAAAGTGAAATTCGAGATTATTGATATGATATTATTGCATCATCTCGTTTCCTTTGCTCTTCCTTTTTTATTAAGCAAACTCTTTTACGATTCAACGAGAACAGGGGTTGGTTTATTTACCGGGCCAAGTAGATCAATGCTACAAGTGGACATTTACTCATGTGGGTCAAGATGGCCTTTTTCGTACACTATAGTTAAAAAATAAAGTTAAATCTTTAGGAAATGGACTATGGTTCCATCGTGATACTAGCCCACTTCTCTTAGTGGGGCTACTATGTGCTGTTAATAGAGATTTTCAACCCAATTTCGCAAACACAATGATGACCAATATGAGACACCAAAATGATAGTCATCGATGTATCTTTTTCTCACACATGATTCAAACGAAAAAGGTTAGTGCGCATAGTTTAAGTTGGCACGTCCGAGTATTTGGGATCATATTCCTACATACATTGAGAGACTTTCTTAACTTGTAATGTTTAAGTTTCAGTTTTGACCACTTTTTTCACCCCAGAAATATTTTATCGATTGGAAAATGCTAGTAACACAAAATAATTAAAATAAATTTTAAAAAATATTCAATTTAGAAAAGAAGTATTTTAACCTTTTTATAAAAGTATAAATTCTAAAGAGTATGTTAAATAATGTATTCAGACGCATATTTTGTTAATATTTCTGTTTTAGGGGAAACTTTACATTTTGCGAACGAGTCATGGTTTTCTTATAGATGGTAAATCATAAAACTTGAACCTTACACAATTATACCTTTACAGTCAACAGTTTCTTCATTTATACGTTATTCTGTATCCTATCCCCTCACATTTGTGGAATGAATGGGATAAATACAATAATTAGTAAGTATAATATATGTGTGTGTTTTTGAAGGGGGAGGTAAATTTCTTAATATACTTCAACTTGTTCTTTTAATGCTTCTGGGGATATTTCAATAAAAATATATACTCATTAATGTTTTTCTAAAAAAATAAAGTATAATGATAGTCGCTTATGCTATTATACTTTCACTTGATTTTTGAGTATGTTAACACATTCTCAAAAAACTTAAATAAATTCAAAATTATGACTTTTTTTTCTAATTTTCACACACATACGAGGATGAATTCAAACAGGTTGAAAGTGGGCTCTAGCCCCTCCCTTCATTTTTTTAATTTTTAAATTTCATTTATAGAATTTTTTTATATATACAAAGCCATGTAGCCTTAAGAAATTAACAAATCTTTTTTACAAATCAAATTTGAGTACTTATTTTTAGAATGTGATTTTCTTTCAATTTAGTCTCTCTCAATATGTCACATGATCGCTTTGCTTAACCTTGCATGTCTCAAATTTTGTTATTTTTTATTTTTTCCAGCATAATTTTTAAAGTCAGTTGATCTCTAATTATTCAGCTATTAATGTTAAAAACTTTATATATCTATAAATTAAAGTTTATAAATTTAAATTTTCACATATTAGCGTTAATAACTAATTTACACAATTTACTCCTCCTTTCTAATATCTTATTTCTTAATTTATTATTGTATGACTAAATAAAATCTTCATTCTCAACAATAAAAAAATATCATATCATACAATACTTACTTCTTCTTGAAACAAATTATTTAAATTCTAACAAAAGATATATGTTATTGGTTGCGTATAAAATGAGTTGGTCGTTCGTTGACTTTGATAATGAAAAGAGAGGAAGAAGAAAAAAGAAACAAGGTTAATTAATGTTATTGATTTGAAAAATATGATGTATGTGGTGACATTTCCTTTCTCATTGGAATATTTTTCAAATGTACGACGAATTGTGACGGTCGTGGAAGCACTCAGTTACCTTCTCTCTCAAGAAAAGGAAATATCAAAGTACCATTTCGAACTCACCGACCATGTCTGCATTCTTGGACCTGAAAGACAAACTTCTTAAATGAATGCACTTATCATCAAATTACATATGAAACTAAGTCATCAGCGTTGATGGCTCACATTCTTTTCATTTGAAGCCACAAAAGACTTTGATTCAGTCCAAAGTCCAGGTCATCATAAACAGCAAGTATTGGTGATTTTAAAGTATTTTCTTATAACTCTAAATAATTTAACAAAATTTACTTTACCATTTCCATGTACATTCCTAGACAGGAGTAAGTGGTTTTGATTTATATCAGTAATTATTATTATTATTGATGGATGAATCATTAGCTGATTTTGATATACTCTGTTTTGTTTAACTTAAATACAGACAAATGATTATTTATTTTAGTTTTATTTTTAAAAAAAGTAAAAAGTAATTTTCACTTTAAAATTGATAGACTAAACTTAAGTACATGTACTTGGTAAAATAACAAATAGAGGTTGTGCCATCTATTTTTTGTAATGAAAAGTGTAAATGAGCTGGTGCAGTGGTATGATGTGGGAATGATGAAAACCATTTGTGTGGTCTAATTAATCTATAGGTTTTCAAATTGCTAGTGCAAATTTATTTGCGACAATCATATCAACTAACCTATGACACCCCTTAGAAACGAGGTTTTTATGTGCTCTTGAATCTTGGAGTAACACAAGTTTCTTATTGCCTGAGTTTAAATGTTAGCTGTTTCAATTATAATGCTTCCTTTATTTTTCTTCTCAGTGGTTTAAGTTTTATACATGGAATGAGAAATTTTAAAAATATTATTTAACTAATATGAGGGATAAAAGAAACAATATTAAATGAGACAGTGAAATATATTTCTATTTATTTAGGGATAAATAAAGAAATTCTACGAAAATAGAGATAATTAACTATATGTGCCTATAAGAAGGTCAGGAAAGACGATTGGATTAGGTGAATTGACTTGCGCACTCACAGAACACAAAATGTTGAATGATGACTGTGATTAGTCACTGTAAAGAAAGATAAGGTTAAAAAAATGTAAAGGAGAAGACATAGCAAAAGGTTCACAGCATCACGGCTTTAAGGTTTTGAGTTTACATCTTAATTTTGTCATCGCGCTCTGCTACTTTGAACTAAGGACAAGGCTTTGTTCTTTTTCCGTTTCAAAGGTTCAAACGTCACTGTGTAATACTTTTTTTAGTTCCTTATTATTAAAATCTCCATTAGCACTAGCAGGTCAAAGCAGACAACTTCCCTGTTTCAAGAGTGAACATATATATATTTGGTTGTATGTATTATATTTGTCATTTATTTAGCTAATAATTAAATGACTATTTTTGGGTTAGAGCCAAATTATCAATCATTTACTCATTTTATTAAAAATTGAAAGCTAAGCTACACCTAAGTCACTATGGAATTTGAGCTGGATTAAAGATATTGTCCATATTTTTCCACATTTTTCTGTTTTGAGCAGGTATATCAGAAGAGAGTGTTATTTCCGTTTTGGTTTGATGGAGACCATCTAAAAGACTACTCATGCATTTATCGCATTTGGAAATGCATGATTGAAATTGACAATTATTGTAGGGCATCCAATATATATTTTCATCTCAACAATTATTTGGCAAAATATTACAAACACTAAAAGTATATAAAGGGGTCACTATAATTTCCTTAAAAAAGGTATAAAAAAGAAACATGCATGTGTCCATCAAATAACATTTCTGGAACCGCAGAAACGACAAAATTTTCTTAATTTATCCGCATAAACAGTGGAATACGCTAATACAAAAGAAAGACAAAGTTTTCACGATGGCTTGATGTATATGAACAGAGTAATATATTCGACTTTTAATTGCAGCTTTCTTAAAACTAGCTTTCGGTGACTTTCAAACCTACCCTTCACTTTCTCCAGATCAGGAAGAAACAACCAAAAAGTAATAGTAAGTGAAATGGGAAGAGGAAGTAGAGAAAGAACACGAGAAATTAACAATAAATGGCAAGGGCAAGAGAATCCTTTACAAGCAGCTTCAATTC